CGCTTCGTCTGAGCTGCCGAGCCGTCTCCGGGCCAGCGGAGCTATCTGAGCTTGTGGACCGTGTGTCACAGTAGGAACACGGCGCGAACCTTTCACTGTCCGTCAATCAGGAGGCCGATACCTGCAGGCATTCACTTTCAATCTCATCTCTTCTTTACCCAGTACATATACTATACAACAGCGGGCGGAAAGCAGTCACCGGGGCTTGAAGAAATGATGAGATCGAGGTCTTAAATCGTTTATCTGGAAATTGTAACCGAAGAGACGAGTAAAAGAAACCGGATCTTTCCGAATTTCTATCAAACCTTTTTTTTTCCTCGCCTGCGCGCGTGCGTACGTGTGCGCGTTCCCGGCGGTGCGTCGTCCGCGAGCGGCCCCAAGCAGGTCGGGCGGTCCGGGCGGTCCGAGCCGACCCGCAGAGCCGGTGCCGTTCGAGCCGGCGAGCCCTCCTGCCGCTCTCTGGCGACACAGCTTCAGCCGGGCTCGTGAGCGGCAGGCAGGCCCGGGAGTGACATCGGCTCCTCAGACCCCGGGCCGCAGAGCTACAGAGGTTACAGGCTGTTCAGTTCGGGTGCGAGAAGCCAGCGGCCCTGCGGTTCTGATCCAGCCAGCCCGTTCAGCACCGCGGGCTGCGGGCCAGACTCTCCACGTCCACGGGCTCCCGGCCTCACCTGCACCGGGATCTCTTTTGTTACTAGAATAACAGCCCCCGGCAGCTGGCGCGCGCAGAGGGCTCGTCAGCGGCGCGCGCGGGGGGAAACCCCTGACTGCGAGCGCCCGCAGCGCGACAGCGGCAGAGCCACGTCGTCATGTCGGGATATAGTGTCGGAGCAGTATAGGAACGGAGTTATGGATTAATATAGTAATATGGCAATATCGTGATGTCGTAATGGATTCATGTAGTAATACAGTAATAGAGAAATGGATTAATATCGTAATATACTAATGAAGTATTATAGTAACAAAATAACATAACACAATAATAATGGAGTAATGGGGTAATACAGACCTTCTCCAGCATGAAGGCTGTGGTCTTGTTAGTGTCAGATTCTTCCTTTATTGTCAACACCTCCGTTAAGGGCAAACAGTCTGCATTTAATATTGAAGTCAATATCCTTGTTCCTATACAGTCCCAGTCTAGTAGAACAGTCCAGTTACAATAGGAGCTACAGTCCCAGTGCAGTAGAACAGTCC